CGCCCTGATGACGGAGGCAGTATGACCTCTGAAACGTTGGTAAACATCGACCAGACAACACAGTTCAACAACCCAGAAGACACAAATCTTCAATTTCTTATTTGTTATACGGCCCTCATTAATTTGATTGTTTGGATAATATTTGGCAAAGAGCAAAAATTATAATGCTCTTCGTAATGTAATTGTATCCATGCTCCTGTTCAAAACATCTTCAAAGTTCTTCCCTTACAGTAAAACCAAATTTCACGATTTCTTAAAAGTTAATTACGAATAAATTTATAGTTTTGTATGCTGTCCTTGAATAAATTATTTCCTATGACACTAAATGTTAACTGGAACGGTCAAAGCATTGCGAATCAATCCTCCAGCTTTCGCTTCATTGTATTTACTCACCTGTGTGTGGCGCCATGAACACGTACGAATTGACACGACCGCTGCCAGCAACCAACTGGCTGTCTCTCCAGCCCGTCTCCTTCAGCCAGTACACTCGATGACCTTGAAGATTGCGGCGGTCAAATGTCGTCTCCATTTGCAATATCGCTGTCTCATTTTCCGCGGACGAAACAACCGTATTACTGACTCTACTATGAATAACACATCAAGGCGGATGTTTACAATATTTCTCGCAAACAAGAAAATAGAACTGATAGCGCGCCTGTGAACACGTGACTATCGGCCAATGCTGTTCAGAAGCGGACAGTTCGGAGAATTGATTTAAGGGATCATAAAATCGCGGTAGCACAAAATTAGCAGCTCAGGAACGCAACCCACATTTTTGACACTGAGCCTGTGTAAATAAAGATGCTTAAGTGTAAATGTTCTCGCGTTTCGCTGCGTTTTCATGAAGGCGGCCACTTTGTGAATTGGGGTGTACCAGTTTTAAATATATGTTAATTGGAATTTCACACAAAAATTATTTAGCCAACAGATGGTACGGAATTTTCATGTTAATTTTGGTGTATTTATTTTAAAATCTTGAAACTCGTTCTCAGTAGAAAGAAGTATATTTTGGAGAACGTTTTATTGAATGTCCTACATAAAAATATCTCTTTAAGTCAGAGATAAAGTTGTTCGCCATGAGATTAAACTCCTACGGATTGGAATACCGGGAATCGATTCCCGATAGGGGCAGTGAGTTTTCTTCTTCACCAAAATGTCCGGACCGGCTTCTGAACCCACCCAATGGGTACTCGGCTAGTAAATCTTCCGAAGTTGACCATTCCCCTCTAATGTGGAGTCTTACGTCCGATCATTCATACGTCTTCATGACTTAGTGGTTAGAGAGAGAGGGAACAAACCGTTTTCCTTCGGTTTTACAAGTTCTTTTATCATTTTCAGAATCCTAAAAACTTAACGTCTGCTCGGTTGTGGTAGGCGACGTTTACAAGACTTTGCAATATTTCTAAAGCAGGATTTGCAATGATAATAACATGAGAGTCATGACCGTCAAGTGGCCCACTCAGTGATATAATGCAGCTCGCAAATATTTATATTTTATTTAGTGTTCTGTCTGACGACAGGTCCATATGAACAGGATCCTTCCATCCTTTTCTCGGACTGGGACCTGTTCATATACGTTCTTGGCAGATGATCCAGAAGTGGTTTGCCATTGCCTTCTTCTGAGTGTGAATGGAGTAATTGTTGGGATGCCACGGAGGAAAACTCCGTGTTGCCTAGACCACGTCCTTGCCCAACACAAGTTATGAATTCGGGCACCGCCGGGAATCGAACCCGAGACCCTAGGATTACAAGGCCAGCGTTCTAACCGCTAGACCACCGTGGCTATTCAGCTCGCAAATACTAAACAAAAACATTGTTTGCGTGTATCTGATCTTTGAAAATGGACGTGCGGTAGCTGGACTTCACATTTTCGTATAAGCGCTACGGTAAGGTCTTAAACTCCTGAAAAGATTAGCTAGCTCTTGCTGTATGTTTGACATGTAATGGGTTTAATGGGGGAGAGCGGGGCTGGTTGACACAGTTTTAACTTTCTTAAATTTCAGCTATTTTCTGTAACATGTAAGTTGAATGTGAAATTGGGTACAAACACTCTTCAAATACGTTTTTGTTTTCGGGAAATTCAAATCATAAATGAGGTGAACGGGTGGGAGGCGTTTATGGAAACCCATGCACGTGTGCCAGCCTGCCACGAAAATCCTGAATGTAGATAATATGAACAGTAGCAGGACATTCTAATAAGTGCAAAGATACACCGAAGTTCATATCAAGTTTTATTACAGAAAGGTATCAAATTCAAAGAATTCCATAAACTCTGAAGCACAAAATAGATGGATTTTTAAACAGAAATTCAGAGTAAAATATCAAATGACTTGATAATTTGTCGCATAAGACGAAGCTTAATTTTTTAGAATTCTTGAGGGTATTTGGTCATAGAGTTCAGAGAAATAAATTTGATCCTGCATTTTCGATATTCCCACACTTCTCACTCCACGCACAGGATCAATATCTGATTGGATGCGATGTTAGAATGTTTTGCAATCATTGTATCCAGTGTTAAGTGACGAGGCTTTGAAGTGTTTCTCAGCCATGTTTCTTAGCCTTTGCGCAATAACTGACTGAAGTGTGAAATTGAATTTTGAAGTTATTTGCCATGTCTTATCGTCATCTTGCGTTCTCCATTGCTGTCACAGATGGTGCACCACACCAGATGTAATTTTCCCGTTGGATCCAAGGGGAAAAAAAACCTTCCTCGCACTATTTTATAAAACTAATAGCTTTTTTTGTTATATGCAACGTTACATATTCAGAAACGACAACTTACCATAGTCTGTTGAAATATGTACAAATTAATACAGAGTTTTATAATAACATGAATTTGCTCCTGCAACAACTTGTGTGTGAGACACAGTTTTTGCGTCGAAAATTTGCATTTTACGGCAGTGTTTTAATGTCAGTTGTATGAATGGTACTTGTACGTAAAGCAGCGGACCAGATAATAATCACATTATCTTTTTTTTTGTATTTCAGAGGATAGTTAATAAATGAACTTGTAGTAACTACTCGTAGTAATAAAATGACAAAGTTTTGTGGGCCTGGTTACAAACGAAACTTTGTTCCAGTCCACTTATGTTTTTTTTTGGGGGGGGGGGAGGATACATTTACGAGAAGAGACGTCGCCTTTAGAAGCCCTAACAGAGTAATTTACTTACACTCACTCGCCACTGAAGTGTGGTTCATTTGAATTCCTTTTAAGTTTCACTTCTGTAACGTATACACTGAAGTTGCTGGTATTATGTTATAAAATATAATTCAGTTGTGTATAAAAAAAGTTTCTGAAAATGTTATCTATAATTTCATAAAGCCGTGTGTTAAAGATGTATTAAAAGTGTTGGACCCTCTTAAACGATTACTGGTTGATTATGTGTTTGGTAACTTATATCAGTGGTTTCTATCACGTTAAGAACAGACTAGTTTTCATGGAGAGTGGTTTAAGTTGAACGGTTCGTGTATGTGCCTATCTGTTCATAATATCAATCACCGATGACGGAGAGAGTCTCCGAAACGTCAGATTTATATTTTCAATCAAATTGCCCGCTAGTGAAGAATTAATGGCGTATTATTTTCAATTTCCTAAAAATTGCCTTTGCTCTGTCGTCGTTAACTCGTTAGGACGTTAGAGTCCATAGCTGGAGTTAAGTTTCTTGTACTGAGAGAAAGTCTTGTTAGCTCCATTTACAGTCCTGCTAAGAGGAGTATAATTATGTTTACTGCAACCATAAAATAAAACGCATTTATGAATTGCCGTCCATAACGCGTCTTTCTGGCGTTGCCATAGTAACTGGCGGGTTTTCTGACGCATGCGCTGTAGTTCTTCATCCAGCCGTTGAGCTTGATTCTCCATGGCCATCACCACATGAGTTACGTTTGCGATGAGATCCAACAGTCCTCCCGGTGAAGAATTGGTGTTTGGTGATTGGTTATCATTTTGATTGGTGATACGACGTCGTAAAATAAGCACCGGGTGATGATAATTCTTTATGAACTCGTGTGTCAAGAGGCAGACCGTAGCAGTCGCTATCAGAACACAAATTATGAAAATGACCTTGGAGATCAGGTTGGTTCCAGTGGTGTTGAGCATTGTTGCTACGGGAACTTCCTCATTCTTGCCGCATTTCTGTCACAGTTTAGAAGCGGTATATCAACTGCTCATACCTGAAAATAATAAAATGCTTTACGTAAGCTATTTTTGGATTATTATGTTCATAGTGTATACTGAATAGTGTTACGATTCCTAAGATTTCAGCGACATGTTATCGTTTTGATTTACATGCCGTGTTTGTCCGTCTGTAGTCTGGTTTCTAGGCAACCATGAACGGTTGATTTACATGCCGTGTTTGTCCGTCTCTAGTCTGGTTACTAGGCAACCATGAACGAGTTTACTACAAACGTAACCTGTGACCACCGATATTTCTTTCCTTGACAGTCGGGACTCCGAGTTTTAAATAAGGGCAATCCAATGAAATCTATGGTAGTCTGTTAGAATTCTGTTAGCTTACAATTGAGGAGTTGATAAGAAAAACAATATTGGTCCAAAAGGTCATTTTTTGTTAGTATTGCCATCTTACGTGTTAAACCTCCATACGTAAGTGGGTACAGACGAAATCGGATTAATATAAAAGAAAATGAGTGGTAAATTAAAATTTTCTGGATATATCGTTGTATTTTCCAAACAGAAACAACTTATGTTTATTTCTATTTGTCTTATTTCTGTATAAGTAAACTACTTACATATCTGTAACCAATTTTCTATGTTGTAATACATGCAGGCCAAAATTCACTAATATAAAGTAAAAGTCTTAAGTAATTTTCACTGATTTAGATGCCGGAAATATTTTTTTTCGATTTCTAATAAAAAGACGAGTCTTGAAATTTTTCCCATAAGCTCAATTTCAAACACGTTCACACAATAATCTATACTTTTCTTTAATCAAATCAGCCATAGGTGAAATATTTGATATTGCTTTTAAGTGATTAATAATTAGATATCTGGTGTAATTTCTGAGGTTATGATACGCATGCATCCGCCAAACATCTTTGCAGCACAAATGTACCGTTACGCATTATAATCAAGTCCGATACAGACAAATCCCTGGAATTGTTTGTTGTTTCGATACTGTTCACCAATAATTCTGGGTTAACAAATGAAAACTACTCAGGTAAGAAACCACTTGTAACATCCCGGTTATCGAGTTGGGTTGTTATTTGGGGTCACTTGGAAATAGCAACGTCGCGAAATCAGACTATTACAGCAAATGTACCTGATACTGGGAGGGGCATTTATTTTAACATGGAAACATGGTTCAGAATATGCTGCTTCTAAAACAGGTAATATTCCTAGAGTTGTTCTAGAACAATTACAAACCCACTTTTGTTTTGCGGTAGACAGGGTTACAAACTCTTCCGTAATGAACGTGTATTCCACACAGTTTGAGTAACTAATGTAGAGGTCGCGCGAGAAGTAATGTCACCTGCGCAAAGGACTGATTTTGGTCGTATGAGATGGACTCGTCCGAGCACGCGCTAGAGGGGTGTCAGCTTCAGTTCGTTTGTAGCTCTAGCTGTGTTTAGTTCGGTGCGTCACCGCAGCTGAGGCCGTGCGACCCCCTCCCCTACTACTGAACTCCCCTCTCTCGGCTTACACATCGCGCATTTAGGTGGACACGACTACTCGCGCGACCTATACACACACACTTTGGTTTTATGACAAACATTTGCGTTTGTCATAAAAGACAAAGAACAACATCCCTGTGCAAAACCAGCAAAGTATTGCCAACTGTTTGTATTTCTCCTTTTCATGGCGTAAACCCATCAGTTGGCGCTGTGTTGGAGATATTCTAAGTCGAAGAAAAAATGTTAAAATTTGTAGCTGCAACCGTTTCAACGTTGGTAGTGAACAATCTCTGGCGCTTTAACGCGGTCTGACTGTATTTCAATGTATGTTGTTCATTGCTTTTTCTTGTTTATATTCTACGTACTGCGTATTATTAATATTAAGATTTGTATGACGTGTCAAGAAGTATCTCTTATTGTTTTCAACGAAGCGTTTCATTTGTGATTGTAATCATTTTTCGTATTTCTCACGCTAGTTATACGCTGCGCTGTTTCATAATACAGACATTTAATTTTAATGTATCCTTGATGTTACCCTATTGTTCGTGTGGATCTGGGTAAAGATTGCATTATTAAGAGAAATTTCGGCAGGAACAGGAAATTGAGTGAAATTCTGTCGGTTTTTCAAATATCGACTGGGAGAACAGATGGACTAAATTTTTCGTGGTTTTTCTCAGATTCCGTCGAGGCAGATTGTGGGATGTTTCTACCTGAAATTAGACCACAGACATTTCCTTCCAAATCTTTCCACTTCATTATTAATTAATTGTCCTGCTATTCAACGCCATGTTTGCAGTGCTCTGAAAGAAATTACTTTTGACTTTGGCCCTCCTTATCGAACACCAAAGATGCAATAAATCTAAGCAATTATAAGATACGTCGAGCAAAACACGAACAATTTTGCAGTAATACGTGGTTCAGTGCTGAAGCGTTAAATTCTTCTGGTTGAAATTCTTGCCGCAGTGAACAGGAAGTAAGTTTTGTATTTATTAAAACCGTCTAAATATAACAGAGATAAGCCATTGTACATTTTACTGTTGAAGCTAAAGATTGCAGTTCTGTGTCTTCTATGGGGGTGACACGAGCGAAGCAGAAGCTAAAGATTGCAGTTCTGTGTCTTATATGGAGGTGACACGAGCGAAGCGGTGGAAGGTCGGATACTTATTAATTATATTTCAAAACTGTGTAATATTACATAGACTATTCGTTAATGGTTTTGATTAAATAAAATGGAGGCAACTGGAAATTATTGACCCCATAAGACAGAGTCATGCAGGAGCTAATAGTCGTCTTTTGTGGAACATAACGAGCGATATAAAACTTCCTGTAAGAATACCGTATTTTTGAGATGAGGTTCTAACCCGGGACTTCTCAAATACGAAGGATGAGCATTAAAATAATGCCAGAACGTTTGCATCAACGACATTGGTCGACATTGCATCGTCTTTTGTCTCATTATCTGCAGCTTGGCAGTCTGCCACAAGATGCAAGGTCCTGTAACAGTGGGAGAATGTTTAGGCAGGCATACAGCATTCGGAAGGTCTGTGGTTCGATCTCTGCTGCCGTCTTTAAGTTACACCAACGAAATGATTGAGGAGGCAGTTCATAACAATCATTGCGATTTATTAATAACTTTAAAATAGAAGGGTGTATTTTTGAGCAAAATTCTTAATGGAGTATTTGTGTTAAAGAGACAGTGATCAACATAATGATGGTCTTCGAAGTTCATAGGCTATTATTCACAAGTTAAATAGAAGGGTGTATTTTTGAGCAAAATTATTAATGGAGTATTTGGGTTAAAGAGACAGTGAACAACATAATGATGGTCTTCGAAGTTCATAGGCTATTATTCACCAAATGAGCTGATAATGTTCGAATGATGAAACGACACGGGCGAGAGAGGTAAGAAGTGCATACGAAATTTTATGAGGGAAACCTGAAGGGAAGAGATCAACCTTTTAGACGGAGGATAATATTAAAATAATCTTAAAGAACTGGGGTGTGAGGGCGTGGAATTGATTAAACTGGTTCAGTGGTGGGCTCTTCTGAACTTGGTAATGAATATTTAATTCCCGTGAAATATGTGAGGTGTGTCACGTAGTTTCTTAAAAAATCCTTCAAGTTCTCTGCAGTAGTTAATTTGAATTAAAAGCAGGAGTTGAAAATACGTGAGGGGCATGAGTTATATATGATTTTCGATCTAAAGATTGTTAAATGTAAAACAACACACGTCACTGATCCATGGCCGCTGAGTAATATCTGGAAGAATTAGATAGGAGACGATGTACGAAGTGTACATGACCGACATTTCAGAGGTGCTTGCCGCCTCCATTATCAGGGCGATGATGAATTCGCGTGTGGAATATTGTATGAATATTTATCTAGAACACTCCTTTAACAGTGATCACAGATTATGTGCAGTGGAATGCGAGCAATAAAACGCTTTCTAGAGTCTGAGACGCCATTTTATTATCTTGGCAACTTGCACTCCTAGTGGT